GCTCAGAGAAAGAAAAAATAGTTCATTACAAGCAATACTGAACTATCCTTACTGACTAGAGCCAAAGAGGTTAGTCAATGAAATGATTAATCTGCTGACAGAAAATCTTTGACAGTAAATTTTGATCAGTAGGTAAGATTATAGCTATTTTTTCAGGTAATAGTACTCACTATTTGCAGATTTCACTATCTAAAATCTGCACCCCCACCCCCAACATAGCATATGTGTATATACAATGTATGTTCATCTTTTCTTATAATTTTTGTGATTATTTATTTAACCTTAAGGAAATAGAAAGCAAGCAGAATGGAGAACTAAAATTGCAACAGATGCAAGCAAGGGACAATACTAGAAAAGGGCAGAGAGAAGCAGTGAAATTCTGACAAGGACGGGGTGATAAGGTGACAAAGAGACAAATACAAACCAGATCATTTGTTATACAGAGAGAAGGTGACACAAAAACACAGAGAGATATGGATAACTTTAAAGTAAACAAAGATAAGAAATGGGTTTGTTTCTCAGTCGTGAGCAATTGTAAATGTTACTTAGAAGGTGTTTTTCATCTGTAATAGCTCAGTTAACTCTTAGCTTGTCGTGGTGAATGAATTGCTGTGCTACAGTCACTATTCAAACAGAGAGAGATGCGAACAGGACAAAAGAGATGCATGAAGGGGGGGAAAGAGAGGACAAAGTGGGGGAAATGCCAGCAGATCAAAATTAGGAATTACAGTTACTTGAGCAGCCAATTGCTCAAAGTGACGCTCATTAGCATATTAATCATTAGCATGGAGCGGCTGCCATGATGCACGAGGCTCAGAGCCACGGTCACAGTTACAGAGGTTTCTGTTCATGTTCGCCGCCACAGCCAAATATACAGCCTCTCTCCTGCTTCTAATGCCATGGCGCAGAAAAAGCACAACACTATTTAAGGCAAACACATTCAATTTAAGGCTGCAGATATTTCAGAAGAAACCCTGACTGTCTATACAGCTGTAAATCTTCTACACAGCTACAAGATGTTGTTCTGAAACAGTTTGACTGTAAAGAAAGACTTGCTTCAGCCCTCAGTTATAAGGCAGAGGACCAAACCTTGAGAAGTTTTCCCATCAGTCACAGTGGATCTGCAACTCTCATCTGCAGTGTGAGAAACTGAAAGCTGTATGTCAAGTCTCTAGTATTAATTAAGTTGATGCTGATTTAACTCTGCAATGACAAGCGAATTTAATTTAATTTAATACATGAGTCTTTGTGAGTTTTTGACACTGAGTTTTCATCAATGTGACACCCCCATCTCCCCACCTCAACCCCACAAAACTAAAATAAACTGAACATATTTAAGCAATAAATTGCAAAAAGTAAAACGTTGCATGCAGAAAATATTATACAAATTAAAACTTACATATATACAAATTAATATCTAAAATCTGTTTTACTTGTGAGAAGCTTCATTAAACACTCACAGGAATTTTCTGGCAGCTTTTTCAAAGTTCAGGCTTTAAAGAGTTAAATCACATTAATTTGAATTTTCATGCAGAAACACTGTTTGTTTGTTTTTTTTTCATTCACTGGTCAGTATTGGGGCGATTTTGCTTTCACAACATGTATTTTCTCAGAGGAGTGAAAAGAAAACATTCAACTTGCACATGAGAGTATTATTTCAGTACACTCTGTTCATCCAAATGAGCACATACTTTGTTTGCATATCAAAATTTTGCATTTCAGATAACATTTAATTTATTTTTGAATAAAAATGTGCAAGATTTAGTAATATATCTTTTTTTTTTTCTTTAAAGACCACCATATCAAAATGAGGTTTTTTTCTTCATCCTGTGCACCAAAAACGTTCGATTCATTTGAAGGTTAGGACACACAATAAATGAAAAATCTTGTTTTCTATGCAGGGCATTAAAAAAGGTGTGCTGATCCTTCCAATAATGAATTATTCATACAGTGAGAAGGCCCAGCAGAATTTCCACAACCTTCTTACTTCCTAAAAAAAACAGATGTTACACTCAGCCAGTTTGTCCAGTCATCCTCCAAAACAAGACCTTACAAATTGTACCAACTGCCTCTAAAACACTTAAATATGTAGGATATAACAAAGATACAGTTGATGTATCTGGTTAGATTTTCTTTACTATACTTGAAAAGAAAAGAAATCACGAATCTGCAAAGTGATTATGCAACTATTTTTATTCCAAAAGTTTATTTCTAGAATAAATGATGCCACCTACTCACCAGGGAAAAAAACCCAACATCTCAGTTTCCATTTCACAGTGATTTCCTAGATGCCTATTAAAGATCTACAATATATTCTTGCTGGGGTCGCTGGGGACTTAAAGCAAATGTCAATACTGGAACATGGTCATTAAAATGTGAATAATAAGTATTGGAACTTACCAGTTTACGTTGGCACCAGGTGCAGACGCCACACAGAGCTACCAGCCAAATGGCACATACTATGAATGCAACAGACACCAGGAATACACTGAGAGACACTGAGCCTGAGGGAGAGAGACAGACACACACAGAGGGTGTTAGTGCATTTATTGTAACAATTAGCCTTTTGAAGCTCCTGAGGTTTAAAGTCTAAGATGACTTGTTGAAGGACAAAAAAAGACAGAGCTCAACATTTTGGGGAAATGCTTGAGTAAGAAATGCTTGAGATAATCAGCAGTGATGCTTAGTAATGTGCTTTCCTTCCTTATTTCCTTCCTTCCTTTCACCATTCATCCTTGTCATTTGGCAACTGTCATCAGTAAGACAGAGAGAAATGTAACAGGAACGAGGGGGGCACAAAGGCAGTGAAAAGGCATCATCCCCATGTTCCCTGCATGTATCAATGGGCGATGCGCACATGTCAGGAAGAGATAATATCACGAGGCCAGAAGCTGTGCAATTACCAGCTTCCTTTTGCTCTCTTCTATCTCGTAAATCCTTCAGCAACTTTGTTCCCGTCTTGACAGATGAAAACTTCTTCCATAGCCTTCCATTCTTCATCTCTATTTCTTTCAGTTTCTGCCTATCAACATACAGCTCATCCTGCTGTCTGCCAAGCAATTCGTAATCCACTGGCACAAAGCAAAAGCAATGTTGGCAAACAATGAACTCATAACTGTTGCATCCTTTTTGTCTCTGCTACGCAGATGATCATTTTCTGAGTTCCCCTCCACCTGAAAAATTCATCTGACTGCTGAATTTTCCCTTGATCCCTTGACTTCATTTTTTATCCCTGCCTGTGCACCGACAGCAAATTTGTTGAGGCCAATAAATATTGGAAGAGGATCAGCTAAGTCAACTTAATCATTCTTATCCACCCTCTTGCCCATGCTCGCACTCTTTCCATCCACTTTCTTCTTCTCGTATTATGCACCTCATATATGTTAGTTTGGTTATTCAAATGTCAGCTTGTTTTACCCTCCATCCCCAATAAAATTAAAGTCTGTTCAACTCTTTGATAGCGTATCTGATTTTTGATTGTGGTGGCAATTACTCGAAGATGGCAGGGTTGAATTTTTTGCTCTGAGCCTTTCACTCTGGCAGCAGAGGGTGTGTTGTAGTAAAGTGTTTTGGTGCTTAACAGATAAGTAGGCTCAATCCTACAAGTGTTTCCATGCCCATTTAGAACAACACAACTAAAGCGGCTACAGTGCTCTTCAGCTGAGTAAAACACAACCAGCTGGGAAACATAATAATCCTTTCATATCTTTCAGAATGAAAAGACAATGTGTGTGAACACATAAGAGCGATATTTGATGGGGTGTAATCAAAAAGACAAATTTATGATTGCATAATGAGAAACTTTAACCGGCTCACCACATAGAACACCAAGATAGCACCAAAGTTAAGCCAGTGCATGATCCGTGATGATATATGTGCAAGAAAACTTTATTCTTCACTCACTAATTATCTCTCTATATAGTTTCTAGTCAGGTTCACCTTTAATGCCCAAGATAATTGAAAGTTCAAGATACTTTAAAGATGCATACAAAGATATAAACGAGTGTATGCAAGCTATTACTGTATTGCTGCTTTATTTCGTTTTTGTTATGGAAACAATGTTGTCATGGTGCACTGTTGTCGAGTGCTTGACTCACTTTTTACTTTAGAGAGAACATTTAAGAGCTGCATGAGAAGCTCTTAACCTCCTAGGACCTGGCGTCCACATATGTGGACATCACATTTTGGGATGTCTAGACCAAAATAATACATTTTGCTCTACAAAATGAGCAAAACTGGGCCTGATATCCAGATACGAAGACATTATACTGCCACTGTTCTATTGACATTTAAAACAAATGTTCTCATATGTGGATCTCATTTCTCTCAGAAACAAAAATCAGGTAAAAAAAATCTGGAAATTCTTTGTTTTTACATTCATCAGGTCCCAATATGCCCAAATATCAAAGAGAAATTAAAAACGCATGCCATGGAAGAGTCCAGGTCTTAGGAGATTAAAGGTTACAACTTTTGGATCAGAATCCAAAATGTCAAGTCAAGTTTCTGAAACTGAGGAAAAGGAAGCTGAGAAAAAAATGCCTTCGCAAGGAGGCAGTAAAGCCTATATGTTATACTGACATTGTTTTTTTTAAATCAATGTCAAGTGTGTTTTTTAACCTGTTATATACATAATTAGTTAAAAAGCATATCTTTAGATATCATAATATCCTCTTAATAATACTCTCTTCATGTAAATATTGCGAATAGAGACAAACAAACACAATGCAATATGAAAGTCCCTTCTTATATTTCAAACTATGTGCAAAGTGCTATAGCCAGCCATGGCCAAATTATCAGTGGACCAGCTGATTTATATAGCGCCAAATCACAACAAAAGTCGCCTCAAGGCACTTTATGTTGTACAGTAGATACAGAGAAAAGCCCAACAATCATATGACCCCCTATGAGCGAGCACTTTGGCGACAGTGGGAAGGAAAAACTCCCTATTAACAGGAAGAAACCTCCAGCAGAACCAGGCTCAGGGAGGGGCGGCCATCTGCTGCGACCGGTTGGGGTGGGAGAAGGAAAACAGGATAAAGACATGCTGTGGAAGAGAGCCAGAGATTAATAACAGATATGATTCAATGCAGAGAGGTCTATTAACACATAGTGAGTGAGAAAGGTGACTGCAAAGGAAAAACTCAATGCATCATGGGAATCCCCGGCAGCCTACGTCTATTGCAGCATAACTAAGGCCTAACTATATGCTTTAGCAAAAAGGAAGGTTTTAAGCCTAATCTTGAAAGTAGAGATAGTGTCTGTCTCCCAAATCCAAACTGGAAGCTGGTTCCATAGAAGAGGAGCCTGAAAACTGAAGGCTCTGCCTCCCATTCTATTTTTAAATACTCTAGGAACAACAAGTAGGCCTGCAGTGCGAGAGTGAAGTGCTCTAATAGGGTGGGATAGACTTGTGGCATATTATAAGTACTGACCTATACTCAGTGCTACCAGTTCTCAAACAGCACTGAATCACTGACTTCATGCAGCATCACACTGTTTCTCTGACATTCCTTCTCTTCATTATTTCATTCATGCCTGATTTTGCCTTTCATGTGTCATTTTGTGCTCACCTGGTTTCCCACATCTATCCAGTGACCCATTCCCAATTCCTTTAACTCCCTCAGTGTTTATACTGGTTTCATTCATTTAAACCAGACTGTCTATCCAGCTGTATTTCCCCTGGAGCTTTCCAGTCATTTGTGTGCTCAGTCTGCTCAGTTTTAATTCCCTATCTGTTTATGGACTTTGCCTTTTGCTTGTCCCTGTGATCCTGCTGCCAAACCCATCCACCCATTTTACCCTTCTCCTGTCCCCCCGGTTTGCTTGTTTTGTGCTGCTGTGACAGAAACATGTGTTATCTCATAAATGCGCCATCCTGTGAGCTCTGGTTATCTTTTCTGGAATAGTTACAACTTAACGGTACTATATTTCAGCACCACAGAGAGCTCCCTCCACCTGCAGGCTAAAGCAAGATCTGTGTACCTGATGATCTAATGAAGGATCAAATGGAGTTCAGCAGCACAGTTTATTGTCCTGTGCCTTCATTCAGTTTGACATTTATTTTTAAATATATGAAATAAATGTCAAGTCAACTGCAAGACTTTCTAAACACTGAACCGCTAAATATCCGCAACACAGAGAGGAGGAGCTGTGTGTTTGCAGCTTGCTTCCTGTCGCCAAAAAAGGCCATGAATCATAGAAAACATCCCAGAAACCGGAGTTAGGATCTCTGGCTCGTGGTTACAGATGTGGGTTTGCTGACACATTGTGTTACACCTCTGACAGCAAAGGGTTTTTTTCATGAACCTTTTTTCATTTTTTGTTTGTTTTTTTTTGTCACTGACTTAAAAAAAAAAGTCAAGTTGAGAAAAAATTCTCAACTTTATGTTAGAAGAAAACAGTAAAGTTGTAAAGCAGCAAGTTAACTTCATGAACCTAATGGAGGCAGTCTGTGCACTTAAGGCCACATTAAGCAAAGGGGCCAGAGGATTAAATTGATGGAACAAAGAAATGATGAACTGCAACAACTTTCCACTTCTGATGACCTCACCATGACTGGGCTGGATACTTAACATCGCAGCTCGGCCTAACAAATACGTACCTGTTACACCCTTATCCATGCAAGGATAAAAAAAATCAAGCCCGGTGATAAGTTTGCAAATCAAAAGTCTAACCCTGAAGTGTTGAGACTAAAAATCTTAAGCGAACTGTAGGGTTTATGTCAAAGTGCACCTGACAAAGAAAAATACTGAAATTTCCAGAAACAGTTATACTGGCTTCAAAGTATTAGTGGAGTCTTCACTAAACCAGCAGCTTACAGTTAAAAACCAGATTAGAAATAAAAACAAAACAGATGTATATGTGTATTTCAAACCTCTGCCTACTAATAAGTTTACATATACAGATTAATGGTAACATTTACCTTATGCATCATGGAAAAACTGTACAGGCTATGCTGATGTAACAATATCAAGTCAGGTCTCGGAGGGTTCAATAAATGTGAATTGCCTCCAGATGAAGCCCCCGCTGCGCTGTGTTTAGTATCACTCTCGGCACCACCTATGGCTCCAAATATAAACAAGACACTGTTACTATAACTCAAATCTCTCTCTCTCTGTCTTGTTCCCTCTGTGTAGTATACAACTGGAGCAGCCATAGTCGGAGATCCTTGTGATAACAATAACTGCAGTAAATGTAACACAGAGACATGATATTTAATTAGAAGTGATTTGCCATTCTTCAACATATTTTATTGTTGTCAGCATTTTTCAACTTGCAGTGTCCTGTCAACACAACATTATTTTCAATTATGGTAAGAAGACAAATGATTGAAACTGCCCATCTGAAAAGAAGTCTCTCTAAACATGCCTTAGTCTCCCTTCTCCCCACATGCAGCTCCAACAGATTGTAAGCCATTATTTAGTTTTCTTGTATTAATGTAGACTGCATCCTTGTGTTGCATTAATTTTTAATGATATTTGGTAGAAAGCTTGTTAAACTAGCT